CCCCCCCCAAATTTCATTATTATTTAAAAGGAAGTATCCAGTAAGGAAGAGTTTATATTATTTAAATACATGAAAATAGTATCTAGAGGGAAGAGATGTTAATTTCTGTAATAATTGTGTTCATGCCATGGTCTAAAGATGAAATCACATCTGGCTCTAATTATAAAATATTAATATTGAATAGTATTTGCTTCAAAAGAAAATGTCATTGATATTAGCTATAGAAGTGGGATACTTTAAGCTTGGCAGCCTACTGCCTACTTCATGCTAAATTTAAGCATCCATTAAGTGCTGCTTCATACTCTAATTGCCTGTATCTGCTCAACGTTGCCTATCTCTACAGTGACAGTCCCTATAGTGAACATGGTACATTAGAGGAAGCAGACCAGGATGCCAGCACAGAGCCCCACACCAGTGAAGATGGTATGTCTGTTATATTATTATGTTTACCATTGACATAAATGACATTTACAGGTGTTGCATACAGGAAGGTCTCCATTTTTCTCACTGTTTCAGTTGAAATTAAAGAATTTCATGCATGGCATTCTGCAGCTTACGCCTGCATTTTTAATCTTGTTTTTTTTGTTTGTTTGTTTTTCACTCTGATCCATCTGTGTTCAGCCAGCTGTTTCCTGACACCTTTCCTGGTTTGCCCGGTTACAGGAAGGGCAAGTGAAAAACTACTTCGGCCAGCACAAATTATTTTCTGATGTAACGTTCTATTTTTAAGTGACCTTTTTAACAAGATGAATTGATTAAACACGTGCCTTTATACATTTTAGCTCAGATAACTGCCTTCATGCAGTTTAAAAAGCCATGCCTTCTAGAAGATGTAAGGATATCATTAAAATACAAAAAAAATAAAAGCTATGAAACTAAAGCCATTCATTGTAAATTTGACCAGCAAAGCCACGGCTGTCAGCACATTTTCCCCTGTAGATAGACCCTTCATGGTAGATGGTCTGTTTCTTTGCCACATCTGGAGCAGTAAGGAGGGGCTGGCAAATTCTAGCCTTCAGGGGATTTTAGAGAAGTGCTGTGATGGGGGCGTGGGAGAGAGGCATTTTAATGAGAGCAGCTCCAAGAGCCGCTCTAACTAAAGCACCCAGAGCATCTCATGTATCACGTCGTGGTCCCCCCCCCCCCATGGAAAAAGGTTCCAAGACTTCAT